TTGGCCTCTGGTGCTGGACTATTGAGCTGCATTTTCTTCCCCAAGTGCTACATTATCATCCTGAGACCAGATCTAAACACTAAGGTACATCTAATGGCAAAATCAGGGGAATGATTGTGAAATTGTTTCTTAGGCTGGTAATGTCTAATTATCCATTATTATTGGTTATATGTTCTTCCTTTGGATTTACTTGACAACTTATGTTTATTAAAACTGAAGGAAATAAATATGTGAAGTTTGTTAGTTAGATGAAAATTAAAGATAATCGTCAAATACATTAATAATAAACAAATTAAAAACAAACAAATGAATAAATATTATGTTTTTTAAATTATTGGTTTTCATCCTTTTTCTCAGCACAGATGTCAATATTTGGCTTAAGCAAGTCTTCAAGACAAGAGATATATGAGTCATTTCCTGGGCTTTATAGTGGTGTAAGCTTGGCAGGTATCTTCAAAGATAATTAGTGAGGTCTGAATCTCATCTCTTTCATGGTTCTTTATGAATTGGTATTTCCATTCCCCCAAGTTATGGGTTCTACTGGGGATAAGAGAGTAAGTGGCATAGCTCTCATCTTCCTCAGAGTACACAAGCCCCACAACCTCGTCAAGGTAGTGCCTCACTGAGGGATGATGATGATGATGATGATGATGATTGATCATCACATAGTCAGCCAGACGTTCAGACTGGATTTGGCATTTTGTCTACCTATCGAGTCCTTACCCAGGACCTGGGATAGCCGAGGTGGCGCAGTAGTTAGAGTGCAGTACTGCAGGCCACTTTAGCTGACTGTGTTCAGCAGGTCAGCGGTTCAAATCTCACCGGCTCAAGGTTGACTCAGCCTTCCATCCTTCCGAGGTAGGTAAAATGAGGACCCAGATTGTTGGGAGCAATGTAAATATATATATACATTGCTTACTGGTGTACACCGCTTAGAGAGTGCTTGCACTTAAAGCGGTATATAAGTCTCATAAATAAATAAATAAATAAATAAATAAATGATTGATGATATTACACATATCTTCGCAGGATGGAAGCAGTTCCTAATAAGGTCGCAATTGACTAACAGCAAATTTGTCAATGCCAATGGTGTTCAAGTGATGCTCCAGTTTTTTTGGGATTGCACCCAAGGAGCGTATTACTATTGGTACTACCCTTGCTTGCTTTTGCCATAGTCTTTCTATTTCTATTTGTATGTCTTTGTATTTTGTTATCTTCTTCAGTTCTTTCTCGTCTATTCTGCTGTCTCCAGGCACTCATCTATTCTGCTGTCTCCAGGCACTATTATTATTATTATTATTATTATTATTATTATTATTATTATTATTATTATTATTATTATTACTATTACTATTATTATTATTATTATTATTATTATTATTATTATTATTATTTACTGAGATAATGTGAGCAACAACAATAGATATGAATTTGTATAACTATTCCATCTAGATCATTTATAGTTTTGGATAGTCTACATTTCCAAACATTTTAGATGAGAAGAGGAGAAATTAGAAACTTCAATATTTATTTATTTATTTATTTATTTGCAATATGTATTTACAATATTTATTTATTTATCAAATGTTTATGCCACCCATCTCCCTTATAAAGCAACTCTGGGTGGGTTACAGATTTTAAAAAAGACAAATAGAAAAACAATTAAAATCCAAATTAAAATTTTAGAACTACATATAGAAAAAAACTAAGAGTAGAAGCCAGACTGCATAGGGATGATGCCTTCTTACCCTATCAACCCCCTCCAATGGTGAGTGTCCCTCTCAGGGTTCCAAGTCAACCAGCAAGTCAAGATTTTAATATCTTTTCAGAAGGCCCAAAGAATCAGAGAAGTTCTCACCTCCAGAGGTAGAGTGTACCATAGGGATAGGGCCACAGTGAAAAAGCTGCTTCTCCATGACAGACACACACACACACACACACACACACACACACACACACACACACACACACCAGAATTTCTTAGCAGACAGGATCTGTAGTTGGCCTCTTCTGCTAGTGTGAGGATAGTCCCATTGGGGTGGGATGGCTTCTCAAATACAAATTTAATAACACAAATTTCCAGCTCAGGATCCTACCCATGCAGTAACCAATCAAGGATTTTATTTGTGAAGAAACTCTGTCTTACAGTAACAAGAAGATTGTCAAATTCTGAATTTCCTGTCTCATATATATATTACAGTAATGGTGTCCATACATTAGAAGGATGCAAAGATACATATTTTTTGTCAAGAAATGGAATAATGTGGAAAAATTCTGCCTAGAATAGCCCCACAGCAAGGTAGGCAATAACTACATTTTAGAAAATAAAATAAACATTTCCTTATGTAATGGGAATAAGGCAGGGATCCCCAACCCCAGTCCATGGATCAGTACTGGGCTGTGGTATGCCAGCAATTGGTCCACACAAACAAGCAAAGCCCCATCCACAAGATGCAGGCAGCACACAAAATCATACATCCTCCAGTCCATGGAAAAACCACTCTCTATGGAACCAGTCCCTGGTGACTAAAAGGTTGGGGATCTCAGGTGTAAGGCACCTGGGGATGAGCTATTGCTGAGAAATTAGCAGATGAGACTCAGATGATCAGTAACTAAATACATATAGCAGTGGGCCGTGTTAGGCAAATATAGTAATGGGTATCCTGTCTTAGAACTAGATTAGTTAGAACAAAGAACATAGAATAATAGAGTTCGAAGAGACATTGGAGTTCTTCTAGTCCAACCCCTGCATGAGCAGGAGACCCCATACCCATTTCAGATATAATGGTTATCCTGTCTCTTTTTTAAATCTTCCAGTGATGGAACACCCACAACTTCTGAAGGCAAGCCGTTCCATTGGTTGATTGCACTCACCATTAGGAAATTTCTCCTTAGTCCTTGGCAAATTTCCATCCATTATTTCTTGTGTTGCCTTTTGGTGCTTTGGAAAATAACTTGACACCCTCAAATATTGGAACACTGCTATCATTTCTCCCCTAGTCCTTCTTTTCATTAGACTAGACATACCCAATTCCTGTAACCGCCCTTCATATGTTTTAAGCCTCCAGCCCCCTAATCATTCTTGTTGCTCTTCTCTGCACTCTTTCCAGAGTTTCAACATTTTTGTATATATTGTGGTAATCACTAGAACAATTAGTTCTAGTTTTACCACAACTTTACAAAGAAATAAACTTGCAAAGTTCTTAATATATTTAAGGCCGACCCCTGGACACACTGTATATTTTTTAGTTCTTTATTCTTATCAGCTGATCTCTATTATTCAGTTCTGGTTTTACTAATATAATATAGCTTTTGGGAAGAAACATACAAATTAGTAATGCAGCACTGGACACCAAAATGGAGAAGATTTCCACAGCCAGTATGTATTTTCCCTTTGCACTCAAGTATGCCGGAACAAAAGTTAGCCAAACAGAGCAAAACATCAGCATACTGAAGGTGATAAACTTGGCTTCATTAAATGTATCTGGCAAATTTCTGGCAAAGAAAGCCACAGTGAAGCTCAGAAGTGCCAAGAAACCCATAAAGCTGAGGACACAGTAAAACATGACCATTGAGCCTTCCTTACATTCCAGTAGAATTTCTTCGGCTAAAGAATGCATATCAAAATCTGGGAATGGGGGAGTAATTATCAACCATATGGTACAAATAACAATTTGGACAAAGGAGCATAAAAAAACAATAGAAGTAGCCAGTGGCTTTCTCATATACTTCCTCATTTGGGAATCAGGCTTTGTGGCCTTAAAAGCTAGAACCACAATGATGGTTTTGGCCAAGACACAAGATACAGCAAATGTAAAGATGATACCAAAGGCACTTTGTCGAAAAAGACAGGTCAACTTTCTGGGCTGGCCAATGAATAGTAAAGCACAAAGGAATGAGAGCAGAAGAGAAATAAGGAGAGCATAAGTGAGATTCCTGTTATTGGCTTTGACAATGGGAGTACCCTGATGTCTAATAAATATCAACAGCATCAATACTGTAATTAAAAAAAGTGAGAGGGCAAGAATAGTCAAACCAAATCCTAAAGGTTCTCTATAAGACAGATAAGTGATATTTTTCAGAAGACATCCATCTTTAGCATCATTTGGAAATTGTCCTTCTGGACAACGAACACAGTCAACCATGTCTGGAAGAGAAAATATATATGAACAATTTAATTCATTTCAAATTTTTTTTCTGTAATGGCAAAACTATGAAGGAGATAAATTGGATTAAAATTTTAAATCTTATCAGTCAACTTTAGTAGAAACAAAACAAACCTTAATTATCACTTATAAAAATGGTGAATAAATTTATTATGAATGTTAAACCTTCTCCAACAGTTCAAGTTGGGATTATCTATAGACTGTGCATGTCTTTCCACCTTGTGAAGGACCAACAGTTCAAGTTGGGATTATCTATAGACTGTGCATGTCTTTCCACCTTGTGAAGGACCAAATACAGGATCCTTCACTATTAATTGAATGAAGCCAGGCTTAACAAGTTCTTGATTCCCTTGTTACAAATAATTACTTCCATCCACTATGGTCCAGTAAGCTGTCTTTAGCTCTTGTTTAATTCTTTATTGCTCTGGCAATTGATTATTGGAAAAGACCTCAGTCCCTTTCATCTCACAGAATAAAGAGAGTAGCGTAATATGTACACTGGGTGGGCCAAATGGTTTGGAGGAAATGGTGGTCTTGCAGTTTCAGGCCTTCAAAAAAAAGGCCAAGATAAATATTCCAAACATAATGTTTAAGGATTAAATACTTAGTGTAAAGTAAACATAGTGTTTAAGAATTAAATACTTATTGTTTTGTTCTCCTTCTCCATGTGTTTGCTCCTTCACAAATCAGATAGAATCTTTAACCCATACTACAAAACCCAAACTGAACTGTTTAATATGATGCTAATGAATTACATACATCATTTTAAATGCAAAGGAACTGCATGTGCTAAATATCAAAGCATTTGAAAATTCTAGGTTCATTTTTTCTCACCTTTCTGGGATGAAATCTTTCCTTCTGGACATGGAAGGCAATCATAACAGCAAAAGGGCTTCCCCTCCTTCTTCATTTTATAAAATCCTTGATGGCAGTTATCGTTACATACTGAAATAGGTTGTGTCTTAATGTAAAAAAATCAAATAGTCATATCAATAAATATGTATCAAACATATAAAAAGCAAAACTAAATCAAATAAATAGCAATATTCATTTACTGCAAAACTAATGCAGACTTTTCTTTCAGCACTGTATGATTATTGTTTCACCCAAATCTCATGCTCTTCATAAGGGATGGTTCTAGTGAGTTAGGCTGTCACTTAACTTCTCTAATAATTGATATTTATCTCAAGATTGCCTTAAACCTTCATTTGGATAAATGTCACTTAACAAACCTGAGAAAATGTGAAATTAAATACTTTTATGTTCCCCAAATTGAATGTTAAGAGAATACCCTTTCTCTTTTCATGCATAGAAGATAGCATGCTGACACATGTGTGCAGTGTTGCCTTAGAAGCGTTAGGAGAGATTATGCTGTATATTATCTCTTTTCAGCCCATTAAGGTGAGGAGGCAAAACTGTTTGGGAGACTTCCATTGCTCCTCTGCAATCCAGCTTCTAGGACCAATGCCAATGATTTCCTTGACCAAACATGGCTACGACATCTGTGTTAGACATGCATGGTAGTCCAGACAGGAAGCTTAGATGAACTAAGTCTACTTTATTGTAAGATTACGCTAACAAAATTTTGCAAGTCTGAAAGTACATGTCTCCCTTTACTCATCAAAAAACAAGGGACAATCCCTTCTGAGATTTTTGCCATACCCCTTTGCTTCTGTGGGCTAAACTACCTCTTATCTGATTGGTCCCTTGTCTTGGCTCTTCCCAAGGTCATTCCCATATACTATTACATTTGGAAATACCTCAGGAAATAGGTGGATCCTTACATGATTGAACTTCTTGGGCCATATAATGCTATTGTCGTTAATGGAGAATATACTCTTTGAAGAAGCATATGGGTCAATCTTTCCAACTTTTGCTTTCAAGAAAGACTGATTTGGGAATGTTATCCAGTTGATAATATCAAATCCAGCTTTTCTTTCTCCACTTTGATCAAAGGAAATTTTCTCTCCAGCACTGTTGTTGAATGATACTTTTCGTAGAATGTGATGAAGCTAAGATCAAATTTGGGGAAAAGTTTTAAAACACCAGGCAGGGATCAACAAGGAGATAATATTCTATTACTGAATATTTTAATGTCATAATTTTTTTTTTTTATTAAAAAGTTTTATAAATTTTACAGAAAATAAAAGACAATACAAAAACAAAAAACAACATATACAGATAAAAAACAAACATTACCCAACAAAACCCCCCTTCCCCCACCCCTACCCAAACCCCCCTCCCCCCCCAGGGCCTCCCAGAGCAGAATATAGGCTTAATTAAAAAAAAGTTAAAAAAATTTATATTTATAAAAAAAAGAGAATATAAAATAGAATATATATATATATAAAGTTAAAAATTATGAAAAAACTATATAGTATTTTTTATATCAAATTTAAATTGTATGAATTTTATCCATTTATCCCAAACAGCAAGAAATTTCTCTTGCGTTTGCCCCTTTAAGAAAGCCGAAATCTTTGCCATTTCCGCCAAATGAGACACTTTAAGAAACCATTCCTGCAATGTAGGCAAAGATTCCTTCTTCCAATATTGTCCTACTAACAGCCTCGCAGCTGTAATCAAATTTAACATCAATATAACCTCCTTTGTATCACAATCAGTAACTATACCTAACAAAAATAATTGTGGAGTAAATTTTACCCTCCTTTTAAAAATTCTCTGGATATTCCACCATATCTTAATCCAGAATGCTTTTATCTCTCTGCACGACCACCAATATGATAATAAGTAGCGTCCATACAACCACATCTCCAACATTTAGGTTGTAAGTCAGGGTACATAAAAGACATTTTTTGTGGATCAAGGTGCCATCTATAAAACATTTTATAAAAATTCTCCCTTAAGTTCTGTGCTTGTGTAAATTTGACATTTCTCACCCAAATAGTTTCCCAGGTGTCCAATGGAACTGGCTCGCCAAAATTCTGCGCCCATCTAATCATACAATCTTTAATTAGTTCCGTTTCTGAATCCAATTCAACTAAAACCCCATAAATTCTCTTAATGTGGGTTTGTCTTTGATCCTTCACTTGCTTGATAAGATTTTCATCTTCTCTGAGAAAACCCACCTTACAGTCCATCTTCCATCTATCTGATAATTGCCTATATTGGAACCAAGAATAAATAATATTTTCTTGTGCTAACTCTTCCCGTGATTTTAACTGCCAGTTTTGTCCATCCCATTTAAGTAACTGTCTATAAGACACCATATCCATTTTAACCCCTCTTTTTATTCCTTCTATCGCATGCCAAGGTATAGCCCATAATGGTACTTTGAAATCACTTTTATAATATTTTCTCCAAATCCTAAGTAAGGAAGTTCTTAAGATATGAGATTTAAAAGCCCAATCCATTTTTTTATTAAATATTAAATAGGCATGCCACCCAAAAAGTAGATTCCATCCCTCTAAGTGGAGTATATCAGAATTTGTCAAATTTACCCAGTCACTAACTAATGTTAAAACCACCGCATCATAATATAATTTCAAATTCGGCACCTTGAGTCCTCCCCTCTCACGGAAATCTTGCATAATTTTAAACTTAACCCTTGGCTTTTTCCCTGCCCAAATAAATTTATTAAGGCCTTTCTGCCACTCAGTTAAATTGATCTCATTCTTCAAAATCGGTATCATTTGGAACAAAAAGAGAAACTTGGGTAGAATATTCATTTTTATCACTGCAATTCTTCCCATGAGGGATAATTGCAACTTTTCCCAATTCTTCAAGTCTCTCTGTACCCTAACCCACAACCTTTCATAATTATTTTTAAATAATTTTGCATTAGAAACAGATAACATCACCCCCAAATATTTTACCTTATTAACAATTTCAAAACCCGTCAAATTAACCAAAGTCTGCTTCTCCCGACTAGTCATATTTTTAGGTAGAATTTTAGTCTTATTAACATTAATCTTAAAACCCGAAACCAAACCATAATTATGAATCAGCTGTAATAATTTTACTACAGAATAAGTAGGTTGCGACAAAGTAATGACCAAGTCATCCGCAAAGGCTCTTAACTTATACTCTTTTTTATTAACTTCTATTCCTTTAATTTCCTGCGACTCTCGAATTTTGATCAACAGTATTTCCAGTGTTAAAACAAACAGCAACGGTGATAGTGGGCAACCCTGTCTAGTACCTTTCTCTATTGTAAAAACCTCTGACAAGCCTCCATTAACGATAAGTTGTGCCGTTTGTTTTTGATATATTACCATAAGAGCTTGCAATATCTTTTCACCAAAATTCATCTCTTCCATTACTCTTAACATAAAATGCCAATTCAATTGATCAAAGGCTTTTTCAGCATCTAAAAATATCAGCCCTGCAGGAACTTGGTTGTTTTTATCTAAATATTCTAATAAATTAATAATTTGTCTGACATTATTTTTCATGTACCTTCCAGTTATGAACCCAGATTGATCTTTATGCACAAGGTGGTGCACAACCCTCATAAGCCTATTTACTAAGATTTTTACAAATATCTTATAATCCACATTTAAAAGAGATATAGGCCTATAATTCTTTGGTAAAGTAAGATCTTGATCTTCCTTTGGAATCAATGATATAAAAGCAGTACGCCATGAGGGAGGAATCTCTTGACCCTGTAAAATACCATTAAAAAGATCACCTAATGGTTGAGTCATCTCCTCCAATAAGGCTTTATAGTAAACAGCTGTTAACCCATCCGTACCCGGTGCTTTCCCTGGTTTCAATTGTTGAATTGCTAACGAAATTTCCTCCTTAGTAATTAAACCATTAACTTCATGTTTCTGATCCTCTGTCAATTTAGGGAAACTAACCTCGCTTAGGTATTTATTTATCTCTAAAATTTGCACATTAGTAGATTTATATAATTTTTGATAATAATCCAAAAAAGATTTCTTAATCAGTTCCTTCTGAGAAACTAATTTACCCTTGTAATTTATTTTGTCTATTGTTCTCTGTCTCTGTTTCTTTCTCAATTGATAAGCCAACCATCTCCCTGGCTTGTTAGCATTACAGAATGTGTTTTGTTTCATAAACAATAAATTAGTTGCAGCTTGATCTACTAACAACATATTAAATTGTGTTCTTAACAACTTTAAGGATTCTTTAATACTTTCATCAGAAGGATTTAAAATCAAAGACTTTTCTTTTAATTTAATTTCATCTTCCAATTCTTTACGTTTCTGAATCTGTTTTTGCTTATGACAGTTATTCATTTTTATCAAAATCCCACGCATAAATGCTTTCCCTGCATCCCATACCATTGACATTGAAGTCCCCTTATACATATTCAAAGCAAAATAATCCTTTAAACACTCCTTTAGTTTCTGAACATTTTTTTCTTATCTAAATAGATTCTCATTCACCCTCCAGGATCTTCTCTCCTCTTTTTCTTGAGTCAACTCCATCCAGACTGGACTATGATCCGTCAAAGACCTAGGGAAAATCTTGACATTCTTTACTCTATTATATAAGTCCGTTGTAATCAAGAAAAAGTCAATTCTTGAGAAGGATTGGTGTCTATCTGAAAAGAAGGTAAAGTCTTTCTCCTCTTGATTGCATTCCCGCCAATAGTCCCATAATTCCCAGTCCTCTTTCATATCAAAAAAGGCTTTAGGTAATTTTGCCTGCTTAAGAAGAGGAGAGGAACCTTTTTTGTCCCTTTGTACATCTAAGACACCATTCCAATCCCCCATTAGTACCACGGACCTGTAGTCCAGCAGATTTATTTTTTCATGTAAGAGTCTGTAAAATTGTTCCTGTTGCTGATTTGGTGCATATAATCCCACTATAAGTACTTTCTTACCATATAAGCCCAATTCAACCATCACATATCTCCCTTGGGGGTCAGACTCCACCAGACAAACTGGTAGATTTTGCTTAACATAGATAACAACTCCCCCCTTCTTCCCGGGAGCAGAAGATACGAAGTGAGATCCCAACGGGCATTAACTAAATATTTCTGATCCTTAAGTAAAATATGAGTTTCCTGTAAGCAAATAACATCATTATTACATTGCTTCAAATAATAAAAGATTTTTTTCCTTTTCTGAGGAGAATTCAATCCATTAACATTCCAGGTCAAAAACTTTGCCATCTCCCTTGGCCCGCAGCCTGGAGAAGACACCTTGGAGATCTGAAATTGCAACATGTGTTGCATGACTCTTGGGTCTTGCTCCTCCCACCGGCGGTGATACATTTCCAGGAGAAATCTCTTTGGCCTCTTTCTTACGTTGCTCCTTCTCTTTACGTTTATAAGCTGCGCGAGTCATTCTCTGCTCTTTAACCTCCGTCTGGCGTTGCCATTCAGCTTGCAGCATCCCAGCAGAAACCAAACCTAATGCCTCAGACTGCTGCTCCGCCTCTTTGCCACTCAGGGATTTCTGAACAGGTAAAGTTGAGCCTGCACCTAGGACTGAAGTATAGAATTCTCTAGCTTTATCAACCGTATTCAATCTATAACGTGTCCCCGCATGGCTCAAAACAATACCCATCGGGATTTCCCATCTAAATGGCATCAATCTAGCTTTAAGCTCATTAGCTAAGAAAGCAAAATCTTTCCTGCTTCTTAAAATTTTGGATGGGATTTCCTTTAGTATGATGACATCTTGGGCAGCTATCTGAAATCTTTTATTATAAAAGGCTTGTATGATCTCATTACGCAGAGACTTCTTCGTAAAATAAATCACCACATCTCTAGGCAAATTCTTCTGCTTAGCAATCCAAGAGTTAAGCCTGTACACTTTTTCAACTTCTCTGCGTAATTCTCCTTTGTCCATATCCAAAACCACAGCCAAATCAGTAAGGACCACCTCCATCAAATCTTGATTCATATCTTCCTTGAGGCCTCTAATCCTCAAGGCATATTCCATCTGCCTATACT